CATACCTCAGTATCATTTATCACTATAATTACAAACAATTACCTTAAAACTATTTGGAAAATTAATGACACATTAAAGATTACTCCACATTGTCTTGTCATTTTCAGAGACTGTCTAGAAAAATAAGAATATTTTTCAGAAATTCATATCGTATGCGACAAACACTGGTAACAACACAAATTGTATTGATTGAACAAGCTAAATATCCCAAGACAAATCACTCTACTGATGAACAAGAACAACCTCTGATTGTTCAATTTTATGTGGTGGCGGTACACATTACAATCAAAGCATGCTGGATTGTGCAAAGTAAACCAGAAGCATCCAATCACTGTTAATGTCATGTGACAAACTGGGGGGGGCTGTTTCTGTGAGGCCTCAGGGTTAGTATTCACTACAGTAATCAGGTCAGATGACATTATGGAAAACTGAATTATCAGTTGTTTTGCCGAAATCAACCATGAAAGGAGATTCGTATTTTAATCAGTTTTCTAACTAACATGGGATCGCTAGGCAAATTCACAGGATTAAAAGGAAATTCCATTGCTTGCAATTGCAATACCACATCAAGTACATGGACAGGATCATTTCCACAAGGAGCTAAAAGGGAAGGCTATAAAAATGGTGGAAAATGCACATCCTTTCTCACTGTCTCACTAATTCAACTTTGCTGAAAACAATAAAAAGTTTATCATATTACTTGCCTTCAAAGAAGCTTTGATCACACGCTGTATGACCTAAGTGACTAGAGATTCCTGACTCTAGGTTCAAGAAGCTGATTTTAAAACTGAAAATGGGTTTTGATAAAAAAAACTTTGATTACCTTGACTAATTCATTCACATTCTCTTTAAATACTGTGGGAGTTTATTTTGTTCCATAATATTGGAATGTTTCACAACCTAATCTCATTTATCAATCTAGAGTGGTTACTCTTGGCTGATCAGAGGTCATCTAATAATTACTGTACATGGTCACAGGTGATAGTTTCAGAGTGGGTGTGTGACACTTGATAATGATCTCAGCTCTGGATGCCCTGCAGTTGCAGTTATTACCAATAGCTAACATGATGATCCAGCTTGAAAACTTTATAACAATCAATCATCAAATCAAGATTAGTGGATTAGACACTAGCAACAGGATTTGGCATTTGTTTTGATGATCACCACTGAATATATTCACCTATACAGGTATTTTTCTTTCCAAGCTATTAAAACTAACAGAAACCTCGAGTGAGGATAAATTCCATACCCATTGGTTTTCAGGGGATGAGACATAAGTTCTGTGTTGTTCAAGCTGCCATTCCTGATTGAAACTTTAAGCAGCTGAATTACCAACCTTAATGTTCAGCCTAAACCCCCAATTGATCATTGTGTTCTGAAATCTACTGTAAAGGCTCACTACCAGTATAACTTTAATTATAACTCAGCTATAGATGAGTAGGAAATATCTAGTTTAGATGAAGTGTAAACATTTCCAGCTTCAAAGCAGAGGAGATGTTTGCTGAGATGTAGGGGGTCCCAAGCTTGTGACCAAAGACAATTGTAAAGATTACCTTGGTTTACCTAGTTAAGTTGTGGTAAATGAATGTCAAGGAGTATTGCAGAAACACACCATATAAAATCACATTAAGACCTGAAGAGGAAAACAAAAGAAAGAAAGTCTGACAACAAGAAAGACAAGAGTCAGGAGGAGTTGGAACTTAAAGCTTGCCGAGGCCAAGCGAGAGCCCCTTCATGTTCATCCAAACAAAACCCGGTTGGAGCTATTAGAACCTTTCTAGAGAGAGCTTGCTATTCTGTGCTTTTAGGGAACTTGGGTTTCTTGGGTAAAAAATACCTTGGTTAAAGATGGCCTATCCTGCTTGTGGGTGCATTTTTAGAATAAGAAGATAAAGTCCTATTTATTTTGTGGCATTCGTGTTTGAGGAGAGAGAGATTTAACTGCAGGTTGAATTGCATTTATTTTAGAAAGGAATTATTTAATACTTGGTAGCAGTCTGGGGTTTATCTGGGTGATTAGGATGTAAGGCCTCTGGGATGCCCTGCCGGCAAATACTGTATACATAGAGTAACTCGTGTGTTGTATGTTTTGTTGCTTGTAGTGTTGTATTTGTCAAATACATTTTTATTTCCCAAAATATATTTGTTTAACCAAGTGTGCCTGGATTATTTCTATTTTCACCAAAGCTGTGCCAAAGTACAAAGAATTCACATGCTTCTAATTATACCAACCACTAAGGTATATTCTGGGGAAATAACTTACAAGTTGAGGGTTATGAATAATTATTTTATTTATTGACTAAACCAGTCAGTTAATTCCTGATATTCACACTTTTCATAACATCTCACTTTTGTAACAGTACAATGAAAAATGCACATTGAGAGTAACATAAGACAGATGGGAGGAATGGAGGTTGTGGAACTTTGGTATCTTGTAGTGTTTTGTTCTTTTTAAAAACTGCTAATCATCTGAAAACAATAAAAACATTTATTAAAGCATTATCTGCCTCAGAAAACTCTAAGTAAGCTCACAAGTAAGCAAACACCATGCTATTAAATTATTAAAAATCCCAATAAATCTACCTAGAGACAAAACGTAGTTTGCAGTTATAGACAGTTTGATATGAGTGTGCTATGAGCATTAAAGTCAAGATAAACTATAGGTTACTTTACGGGAGGTATATACTGTGTATTATTTATAAATCTATTCATGTATTACAGTCCTAGGGGAAAAAACATTTAATTTAAGCTTATCCGTTTTAAGTTTAAGTAATTTAAGTTTATGTATATGTACATTTTTGCTTTACTGTGTACCAGAAACAATATGGTTGATAAACAGTATGAACCAATAAGTGGAAACTGATTAAACAAAGTCAAAAGGGAAGTTACAACCCCTGGGTATACTGTATACCCCAATTAAGTGTATACAGGTTCACTTAAAATAGGTTATACAGAACACTTAAGTGGGTTACTCTACATCACAAATTATACAAAAATGGTCCTGAACCATTTTAGTTGCTTTATGAACCTTTCGACCAATCTTTGTTTACATTTCCACACAGCAACTGATCTTTCTCATAAAGATCTCTCACAGTTTTGATTACTTCTCTTTGTTCTCTACTGCAGGTATTTCCTGTTTTATATGGTCCCCTTCAACACAACATCAAGGTCTTTGATTTTCTAAGAGAAATCTCAAATGTAAAAACATACAATATAAAGTTATGACTTTCTTTCAAAATCATAATTTACTATTTAGTAGTCATATAGGTTTATGAATTGCTTGTGAAATTCTTCCAGTAGTTTTTCCTTCAGTTAATGATTTCAACCTAAAATGTTAACATTTTACCTTTATGAGACAATTAGATCAATGGTTTTGCATTTTATTAAGGGACACATTGGTGCAGTGGTTAGCATTGCTGCATTACTGAGCTGGGGCCCTGGTTAAATTCTGGTCCTGGTGTGCTGCCTACTTGAAGTTTGTATATTGTATGAACCTTGTTTCCTCCGGGTGCTTTGGATTCCTGCAACAGTCCAAAGACATACCACTCAGTTAACTGGATTCTGGGAAAATTGGCCCTGGTGTGGGAGTGTGTGCATGTTTGTGTCTGTGTGAGCCCTGAGATGGACTGGCATCCCGTCCAGAGAATAGCCCACCTTGTTACACCCATTGCTTGCTAGGATAGGCTCTGGCTCCCCAGTGACCCTGAATTAGAAGAAGTGGTTAGAAAATGGATGGATGGATGAATAAGTGATATCACAGAAAACATGACTAGCCATCTGCACTGATGTCACACAGTACTCCAATCTTTAAACCTGTGTATTGGGAGTGTTTGCATGCTTGTGTCTATGTGTACCCTGCAATACACTGGCACTCCATCCAGGGTATATATATCCTACCTTGAACCCATTGCTTGCTGGGACAGGCTCTGGCTCACCTACCACTCTGTATTGGATAAAGCAAATGGACGGCTACATTACCTGCTTTGCTCATTTGGCAGAGGTAGCTGCGATAATGCAACAAAACATAATTCTAAGTAATCAGTTATCTGTGTTCTGTTTATCACAGGCTTCAGTTATAAAGTAATTGTTTTTGGCTCTTTGTAACAGTGAAGCATAAAAACGAGAACTTTCACAGTAGGCACGATCAGGTAGGAAATACACTTGGGTTTATTTCCTCATATTTCTGTTCTGCCCCTCTCTCTTCTATGCCTGCAGGAGGCTCTACATCCAAAATATTGTGTACAGTATGTCTCATTTTGTATTATTTTTCTGTGTGGAATTGGCCTCTGCAATAGTCAGTTCTTGAATTCACACACAATAAAACAACGCTCAATATAGGAAATGGATGCACTGGATTTACTACCAAGAAAAGATTAATGTTGTCCCTTATTGTGTGCTGTCCTATTTACTAGTACTATTACACTGCAGAAAAGGCAGTAAATATAATTTTACCGCAGGGAAATCGACAGAAGCATGATTACTTTCCCTCTTTTCAGTTACATTGAATTAATGAGTGTTCATATGCATCACAGGGTGTTAAGAACCAGTAATGACTTGTTATGTATTCATGTGCTGTTCATGAAGGTCTGACACATGACTTCTTTTATATATGCTGGCATGTCTCATAAAAAGGAGAAGGTATTTAGTTGTAAGAAGGGCAAAAAAATTAGTAACTGCAATATTATTTTAGGGAATGTTTGCAATTCAACTTCCTTGATTTTCATTTGTCTAAAAATGTATGCATGTACATAATGTTGGATATCTTTTGGATATATTGTGGATTAAAGCGATTCTGTGGTTATTTCAGACCTTCATATCTACAGCAATAAAAAAGCAATGGGCAATTAATAATTGGTTAACCCAGTGGTTACAATGGGGATAGCCAAGGGTAAAGTATTCTTAGATTGCTATCAACTAACAGTATATATCACTAACAAATCATTGCAACTTTCTTCATTATTCTTCATTTTTAAAACAAGGACACCAGGGAGAAATAGCACTGAAGTAAAGATCCTGTTTAATTTACAAACATCAGCAGCAATACTGATATTAGTCCAGGTAAGACAAAACACAATTCATTTAACATGGACACCTAGTTTGTTTTGTTTTTCATAAAAAAGTCAGGAAAACAAATCTTTGTTATACAGTGTGCTCTTTTTTAATGAAGGCAGAGCACATTCCACTACCATACATATTATAATCAAAATCTACATTACAAATTTAGCAGCAACATGTTAACATTGGAAACATAGGGATAACAAAGTATTTTTTTTTTAGAAAAAGTCACAGTTTTCTTAGCGTAGTTTGTTAAAAAGGTAAGGAACTCCAAGGAAAATCATGTTTGTAAAAAGAGAGCTATTTTCTCCTATGATAATTTTCTAAACACCATTTCATCTGTGTAAAATATGTTGGGAAAAGTTACCTCTATACAATTATAATCTAGTATAAAGACCTTTATTTCTGGCACAGTACAAATTCTGAGGAGATTTGACAAAAATATACAATGTTCTGTTACATTTAACACTTTATGTTTAAAATGTAACACAGATTCAGGAGCAGACAACAATACCAGTGGTCAAATATAGAGCTAAAAACAAAACGTCTAAATGGGACATGCTATTAGTTAGTTCATCTATCCCACCAAATCCTGATTTTAATTGTCTTTTTAAATATAAAAATATCAGGACAAATATAAATTAATATATATTAAAAGACTCAAACTGTAGTATAAGGGAAGATCTACAAAGATAAGTAAACATATTTTTGATACAATAAATATTTGTCAGTGATATTTTGAATACTGCGCCAAAAGTCAGAAGACACATAAAAAGGACAAGACTTATCTTTAAACCAAATTACTAATCATACATTATTAATCTATATTTATTATGCCCTCCCCCCTCCCTTCCCTTTAACATTTAAATTACAAAGAATTAATACTGGAAACAAGGCTCGCTAAATATTTAAATTTCCGCTATTGTACCATTGACATGTGCGAGTAAAATTCATGATATACTAAATGCACATTTACAACAAGCTTTCCGCTATACTGCAGTTTATGGCCTTCAGTAGATCAGTTTCAACGAATGAAATTTCTATTTAAAAACAAGATTTCTCAGGCACAGTCCTCCTTTGGGATTCACTTTGTTCTTTCCTTTTCAAAAGGTAAAAGATTTTTCTAAACACCACTGTCATCAAACACGAAGTAAAGAAGACCAGGCTGTAGCTGTACATCATATCTCCTCTCTGTATCTGTTGTTCATTTTACTTTCACCTTTTGAAATTTGAAGCTGTATACTACATATCATGATGCGTTTGTCTGTCATGATACAGTTACTAAAAGTCATGTGAAGTGGAAAATCAAAAACGATTGATAAAACCTTAAACGGCCAACTGTTATCTTCATTTCTTCATCTGCGACAGACAAGACCCAGTTCTTCTCGGAAACAAAATAAATGTACCACATCCTGGAGTAATGGCAAATGAAGAATAGAGTCAACTCTGTGTTTTTTTTTCTTTCCTCTTGATAATAAAAAATAAGTCTGTTTTGTACTTTACAATATATTTCAATATTTCCACTATGGAAGCATTAATTAGTCCAGCACTGTCAAAAGGTACTCTTGCTTTTTCTTCCTTTAAAAAAAGGGGGACATGTAACACAACAGAAAATTATGAAGGACATTTTGTACAGCCACACTTCACCACTTTCTCAACTTCCTCCACAAACGAAGACCCGTCGGTGCATTCAAAAGTGTATTTCCGGCGCTTGCTTCTTAGAGGTCCACAGCACTGGCCGATGGAGCAGCCTCCACGACATTCTAGCCGTGAGACCTTTTTGGTGGTCTGGCACGCGGCATACCCCTGCTGTTTCTGATAGTTATCTCGGACCCGTTCCCCTCGACAAAAGATCTCTGCGAGGCAAAAAAAAAGGGCCCTAATTTAGCAAATTCACACCAGTCACAATCATCACGTTATCAGTGTGAACCCACATATAACTTCAAGAGACAAACACCTTTAGCTGAAAACAAAAGAGAAGATGGAGGGAACAAACCATGCCATTTTACCAACGGGGGTCAAAGTAATAAGACTAGAGGACTAGAACTTTCAATGGAAAACACTGAATTCAAAAGTACAACTTTAAGCCACAGCAGTTTTTTAAAAGAAGACACTTGTGCCCAAACTGTGTAGGTCTGCTTGTTATGAAACAGCATCAGAATACACTTAAACATATAAACCTCTAAAAGCTATCTCTATGAAAACGTGTCACTCATGCAATTAAAAACAAAATCATGAACTGCAATTTCACAACACATAGATGGCAGAAAAAATGTACGCTTTGGAACAAAGTCTTTTGGCAGAAAAGACTTATAAAGCACATGTGACTTTAAATAATGTTACCCAAAAGACAAGATGAAACTGATGAAATGTGGAAAGGACAAGGATAAGAGACGGGAAATCCTTTATCCTTTGCAGGCTGTCTCACCTGTCTCACCTGAGTGGGATTCTGGGTACGGCCAGAAGAGGCTGAGAGGTCCGAAATAGAGTTTGTAATAAAAACAGGAGCAGAGTCATTGGATTTGGACTCACAGTGAAAGAGGTAAAGGACACTATCCAGACACAGTACATAAAAACTGAGGCACATCTTACACAAAAAGCTTAATTTTTGTGTAATGGTACCTAGTATATTTACTGTGCTAAAATTATCATGAGCACATCCAAATTCTGTGACTCTGATATGATTTTTTAAAATAAATAAGCAAAATGTTTTTCAGCTATTCAATGCATGTACTGTATGAATAAAGTCAGTGTTTATAAACTTTTTGAAACATTCAGAGAATTACTTAAAAAATGACTAAAATGAATCAGAAAAAAAGCACTAAATTACATTTCATGGTGTGATACTTGTTAAGGTATTGGATAAAATTGACGAGGGTCATAAAGTTATTTATATTACAATGAACCAGTACAACAACATAGCTGCCAATAAGAATAATATTTATTCTTACCTCTGTCACAGCTGTCTCCGGTGTATCCACTGTTACACTCACAGTAGGGCTTGCCCAGGCCTGAAAGTCTGCATTTTCCATGTTTGCACTTAATGGATTGGCAAGGGTTAAAGACATCTTCCTCTTCATCGCACAACACACCCCCATAGCCTGGCTGGCACTTGCAGCTGTATGAGAATGCGTTGATAGACACACAGGTCCCATGGATACACCTGAAGATAGATAGAAAGTGTTGATTCAGACAGTAACTCCACCTCTTGAAAGAGGCTTGAATTAAAACAATACAATTACATCTTAGTGCTTTCCATCCCACAATCCCAAAGCACTTTATACATATTCATCTTCATCTACCATACAATTACAGCACTCACATGTGACAAGTGGCAGACCCATTACATAGCAGATCAGGTGTGGAAGATTTTGCTTCCACAATTAAATTAAAAGGCAGATCTATACAATTTTAATTAATAAGTAATCTGGACCTTGATTTATCTCTTCTTCTGAAAGTTGGCAACTCATACAGCACAGTCTATCCAAACTCCAAAGTGGGGCATTGTTTTCTTGTTGAAAGTATAGTCCAGAGATGGGTGGTACAGTGAACCAGTGGCTAGCATTGCTGTCTCGCAGTGCTAACTACATGGAGTTTGTCTGGTCTTCCCATTTGTGTGGGTTTCCACCAGGTGCAACGGTTTTATGCCACAGTCCAAAGGCATAATGGTAGGTTAGTTGGCTTCTGGGAAACTTCAACCCTGGTCTTAGTGAGTGCATGTTTGCGTCTCTGTGTGCCCTGACCTGTTACTTGTAAAAGGTTATGTCTCCCCTGTGACCCCGAATTGAATAAGGCTGTTAGAAAATAGATAGATGGTTCTGAGGAAAGAGTGCCACCCACTGTTCCACCAATATCATTTAGAGCAGGCAGGTCCTGGTTTTACCTCTCCCAAGCCAGTACTAACTAGTACCATTGTTGCTTCACCTCTGAGATCTGACAAGATTAAGCTATAAGGAAGCAAAGCTGCTGAATAGAGAACTAAAGGGTGTGGCAGCTCTTCAACTTCAACACCAAACCTCAGAAGCTACTCTGCAATGAAATGCTAGTTGCTCTTTGATCAGGCAGGGATGTTCTTCTCTTTGAAAACTACACAAAATAGGGCTATTTTATTTTTAAGTAATATGATTTAAAAATAGAAAATTATTAGAGTTCATGGTTTAATGGTTGGAGAAGAAAAACATTTTAAACAATATCTTTTACATTTGATGAAATAACAATCAAGCAATCAAGAGGCTGGTATCTGTACTAATATCCGGCTTGCGGTTGTGAAGCACAAGAAGTTCTAAGAAGACGTACTTGTTGCCATGACAGGGGTCGTTAGTTTGCTGGTCACACAGCACTCCAGTCCAACCCCCCTCACATTCGCAGGTGAAGCTGGACTGTCCTGTGGCATGACAGGTTCCATGCACACATACTTTCTTCTGGCAAGGCTCACACCCTGGCAAAATCCCCGCTTGCAACTGGAACTTGCTGAAATCCTGCAGCTCATTGTTGATATACAAGTTCCGGATGCACCCATGAAAGCTTGTACCATTCTGGCCTGGACCTTGACGAAGTGCCGCCACATTTGTCTTCACAGGCATTCCTACGTAATGACATCTGGTTAGTAACAGGTCCTGCACACTTGTGTCATCAACAAGGTGATATCTCATATAGTCAATATATGTACTGTAGATGTAGCACACAACCCTTATTGGATGGACAAACGTTTATATTGTTACAGCTATAGGTGACTAGGAAGTGAAGTATCTGTAAGAGTTTTGATAAAGTGAGTAACATCTGGCAGTGTAAACATTTCCATCTTCAAAGCAGAGGGGATGTTTGCTGAGATGTATGGGGTCCCCACCCGGTGATCAAAAGCAATCATACAGTTTACCGTGGTTTACCTAATTAATTAGGTTGTGGGTAAATAATAGTCCAGAAACACACCAAATAAGATCACATTAAGACCACAGAGAAGAGAAGAGAGAAACAGAAGAGAAAGAAGGTCAGGCCACAAGAGAGAGAGGATTCAGGAGGAGTTGGAACATGAAGCTTGCGCCAGGCGAGAGCCCCTACTTCATGATCATCCAGACAAAACTTGACTGGAGCAAAGTATTTGAACCTTGTTAGAGACAGCTTGCTATTCTGTGTTTTTCTCAGGAACTTGGGTTTCCCAAGTAAAAGATACCTTTGTCAAAAATGGCCTTTCCTGCTTTTGGGTGCATTTTTAGAATAGGGAGATAGGCTCCCATTTATTTTGTTGCATCCAGGTTTACAGAAAGAGAGATTAAACTGCAGGTTGTTCAGCATATATATTAAAAGGCATCTTAACTCTTATTTGGTCTTTGTAGGCATTATTTAAGAGTCGAATACTTGGTAGCAGTCTGGGGTTTTCTGGGTGATAAGAACGTTAGGCCTCTGGGGCACCTTGTTTGTACATACTATATTAACGGAATGACTTGTGTGCCCGAGAATTAAGAATTCACATGCTTCTAATTATACCAACCGCTCATGTGTATTCTGGAGAAATCACTTACAAGTTGGGGGTTACGAATAATTATTGTACTTATTAGTAAGTAATTACTAAGTATTACTAAGTAAGACTAAACCGCTTAATGAGTTTTCTGATTTTCACCATTTTTGTAACCCCCTATTTGTAACAATATGCTTAAGCTAAATGTAATTGTTTGTTATTAAATTACTAATTTGAATCATGCAATTTTCTAATCCTATAATTTCCTCTTGCATTATCTTAGCACTGAACCATACAGAACATTTATTTGATCTTTTCTATTAATAGTTCACACAAAACTGCTGATATTTAGTTACAGTATAATACATTTTAATAACATTCGGTTTTATCACTCTGTGCATCTGAGCATCCTGAGAAGATCTTAAAAGTGGTTTTAGGATATAAAAACATTATAAATGAGAGATGGCCATTCAGTCCATCTTGCTCATTTAGTTGCTAGTAGTTTAATGATCCAAGAATATTATCACACTGTTTTGTAAAGGATCCTGCAGAGTCAGCTTCAGCTAGACTGTTATTTTTTCTTAATGGAAATGGAAAGTGTTCTGAAACTTTAAATGTCTATTTTTAAATGCACACAAATGTAAATGGGATGCTGAAAAATACATTAAAGAAGACATGACCATAAACATATTAAAATGTAATTTGGTCTAGGCATTCAGCTTATTGTTTGATATTGTTTTTATGTCTGCAAAGCCAAATTTGGCCTTCATTAACTAAATAAAAATAATTCTATCAGGGAAATAGTCAAAGGGAAAATAGTCATGGCTTTTTAGAAAATCTTCAGATTAAAGGAAAAAACACTTTGTGAAGTGGGACATTTGCGTTCATTATACTGAACACCTACTGTACATTTAATATGTACTATTTTTGACTTTCTCTTTTGTTACCATGCAGGTAGCTCTTTACAGTTATCCTTAAGTAGGCTCTTCTTGTCAATTGTATGACAATAACGAAGCAGCATTATTAAACAGGTGGTGGTGGGGGGGGGGTCAATCACATAACTGCCTATAGTACATGCCAGTTCTCCTGAGGCTGTTCCTCCAGGACTGCTGGGAAAAACTCACTTTGCAACACATTATGCTGACATTGCTAGTCAATTACCTCATCTCTAGGACACAGTCATTTAGTCCTTTTAAATTCAATCAGCTTGGGAGCAATAGTTTTCCGTGTTACACTTTAAATAAGTGCTAGTAATTAGTACAGCATTCTTCATTAAGTGCGTTTGCAGGTAATCGGCATGTCGTGAGTTTTTGTTTAAATTCTTTTCAGCTCTGTTGACCCTTACCTCCGACATAGAGAGGCGAATCAAGGCTCAGTGTGGACTGTGGGGACAGGGTGCTGATACTTTTGGGACTCCCTCCATCGATTGAGAGAGAAAGCGTCTGGTCAAGAGCCACAAGTTCCACTACATGGAAGTTTCCGTCATTAATTGTTTCAACACTGAAAAGGTAAGATATACAGTAAGCATGAATAAAAAGTAATGTACAGTTCGATGTTATTGTATTTTTCATACAGTAAATACTGCATAATTTCAAAATATCTTCTTTCCAGTTGTGTCAGTCTTGCAATGTTGCTACTTCTGTGTACGTGCTGAAATTACATCGGGCATCAAGTTAAAAACCCTGTGATTTTTTCCCCCCTTTCCTAATGCAAAATGATCAAATATCACACTTCATATTAAAGATCTAAGGATAAATGCATTAAAGTGAAGAAAAATACTTTTTTGGCTTGCTGCAAGTATTCCTTTTCTCCTGCGAGAACCGAAACAAAGAGCAATCTGTCTGAAGGTTGAAAAGGCAATAGAAAGACATCAAAATATATAGTTGTTGCTCTGGAGACACAAACACATTTAAGTGTTTATAGTGAAAACGAGTGCCTGATAGTAAAGAAAAGGAAAAAAAGAAATTCCTTGAAAACCTGCCAAATATCAGGAATTCTCTCTCAGGGGCTTTTGATGTGCTCAGAATTTTAAAAAAGCTAGCACTGCAGAGATCTGCAGCCTGACACAGAACTTGGCATTTGTGCCCTAGACTTGCAGAACAGTGGTTCAATTACAGGCACTCATTCACACAGCCCTTCTCAAGAGGGATTTTCTGAGGAAAGACAAGAATTTGTGTTGGGGATTACGGATGTAACAATACGTCTGTCAATAGTGAACATGTACTGTGATACATTACACAGTTCATTTTGTGAGATGCCTCTGAGCAATGCATCTTTTTAATTAAATAGTCTCAACAAAATTTCAAGGGACATTTACAAGAAATTACTATCTAAAGCATACATAACAGTAGCATTATAAGCCTAACCCAACTTTGGCAATGAAAAGGAATAAATCCCTACATACTGTCAGATAATTCCATATATATTTCCATATAATTATGTAATGCATTGTACAATTCCTTTAGTGACTTAAAATATCTTTAAGTCCTGTGTGTGACATATCTATAATGGTAATGTTTTATTTCTGGTAGTGTGAAGCTATTAAAAAAATATCCTAATTTGTCTGATCCAATGTTGTCCCCTTTTTATTTTAATGTACAATAATTGGTCTTGCTTGGTCACTGGCAATCAATTATCTTTTCTTATACATACATTCTGTATTACATTCTATTTTAATTTATATTCTAATTGATTCTAATTAATCTATCCTAAATAATAATATCATAATAAGACCAGGTGCTGGGGTATAGGTAATGACTGCACCACAGATGAGTGAGGCAGACATGTTGAATTGCTTTTAATTAAGAAAAAGAGAAAGAATATTTAAATGCTTCCAAAAAATTCTGAATTTATTTTCTGAACTTATATATGACATAAGATACGTTTTGACACAATTCATTTTTAATTTTTTTCAAAATGTTTTCAAATAATATTTTCACAATATTAGAATATTTGCCCCCAAAATCAAAATTTAACTTTAACCTAACCTTTACCTGCTTTACCTATGCTACTCTTATATTTTTATGAGTTAGAACTTTGAGCAAAAATGTAATATATTTTTGCCTTCAAAGCTTTTCCATTTAAATATGAATATGAAACTTCAGTTTCCTAATCAGGACTAGAAACACATGGAAATATCTAGTGGGATATTTAAATTTGAAATGTTTAATTTGGAATGTACACATCATACATTACAATAATTGATGACAGAATGAGGTTTCAATCATCATTTCACCAAATTAAGTGTTATAATTTTGTGTATGTTTGACACAAACAGCATGACAAATAGGAAATTAAAAGGTAGTTTCAGGGGCAGCTGGTTTCTTTAATGAGCAAAGAAATATGACAATGAAAACATTACTAAAATGAGGCTGCATTGAGGAAAACATAAAGCCGCTCTTAGAAAGGTTATAAGCATTGCTAGATAAATGGAATATAGTAAGTAAATTTGCAGACGTATTACCTGTAAATAGCTGACGGTGGATAAGACCCAGTGTCATAACTGACACGTAATCGTCCCCTATACAGCTCTACAGCAATGTGGTCATTGTCCCCTTTGTACATCAAAATTCCATTATCTTCATCTGTTGCAATCTATTGAATTACAAAGAAAAAAAAATGACTATTAATTATTTTATATAAAATAAACTGCCCCCACAGTAAAACAAAATCTGGACAATATTTTACATCTAAACTGCAAAATAAAAACTCAGTAGTGGCTTTTTTACTGCAGAAGTCTCACTTATCTCCCCTAAAACAAATAAAAATCAAATCAGTAATTTAATATCTGGACTTCCACCCCCCCTTAAAAAAAGCTTTGGAAACAAATATTTTTATTACCTTTTTGGTTTACTGTCACAAAATAATAAAGTTAAATCACATTCTCAATTTTGAAGAATAACCACCAAAAATATCAGCGTAACAATAAAAAACTGGGATCAGACTAGTTGCTTTTCAAATTTAAGAGACTTCATTCAAGTCACTCCCCCAGACTCAGAAAATGTAGAATTTAAAATGTAGCTATGTGAAAATCCCCCTGACCTGAAAACAGTATTATCTGTGGTCTGTGTAGGGTGGTGAAAAAACTTCACCTTCAACCTTAAATTCAGTGCACGTATGTACAGTATATTAATACAGTATAATACATTTACCATTTATGCTGTGATCCAAGTCATTTAAACATTAAACAAACACAATGAGCTTAACACAGAACTGTGTTTTTTCACACTGACCAAAATAAAGTTTCTACAACTCCCTATGTCATTTCAGCATTTCATTTAGAACACCAAATATCTGTTTACCACTTTATGTAGTTATGTATGTAGTGTAGTTGCCATACTTCAGTACCCTGGACAGCTCAAAGGAGAAAGATACTTTAACCACCAGCAGATGCATTTTCTATCATCTTCAGAAGTCGTAGATGCATTTGCAACACCTAAACTGGTAGTGAGGGTCAATGAGAATCATGTGCCATTCTCACATGCCAGCTTGCAGATGCATCTCAGCTAGTACATTTTAGGATGTGCATTTCTACTGATATTGAGGTGTGTCCCAAACAGGTCCAAAGATGTTCAGAGATGTAACATATGTCATACTTGACAAGTGCCGTCTAGACGAGCCGGAAACATCAACTGAGATGCAAAGTTTGTGCAGCTCAGAAGGCATTTGCAATAATGGTGAGGCCAAGTGAAGGGAAATCACAAAAATAAATTGAGTTCTGCATAGGATAGTGAGAAAATCAAACCAGTGCACCATGTATGGTCAGAAATTGTCCTAGATCAGTTTTTACTGGGCACCGCTAATCATGTGAATACATTTTGAAACTTCTGTATTCTGAATATGACATACTGTATGAATGACATCAGCAAGAAAAATGGAAATTGCAGAAAGAAAATTTCATAGATTATGTATGACTGTATGACCAAAGAATCCTTATGCAATGGCTTTAGGAAAAGGTCACAATGTTATCTTTCATCCTGCTCACACTATCCCATATGGTCCCCGTGGACATTCTTGAATTCAGAAAGAAATCGCACAAGACACTTTGCAATTGTCACTCCACTCAGGAAAAGCATCTGGAACTGTAGCCCATTGCTATAAATATGCGTTTTTAATTTTGTGTGACATCATCTCTACCTGCAACGAAATGTTGGCCTGTGAGTCAATCAGGGAGGATGGGATCTGCAGAAAGGACTCCCTGTCCACAAAGTTGACGCTGATAAGCTTCTCGCACTTCTCCCCGTGGTATCCCTGCAAACACTGGCACTCAGGGTCTGTGTCCTTTACGAAGCACTGGGCTCCATTTCGACACTCATAGTTGTCACAAGGGCTTGTGCGCGGTAAGACCATTGGTGGAGAAAACTCACAAAATAAGCCACTGCCCGGCAAAACAAGAAATGAAAAAAAGTAGTTAAAATTTATGTGAAAATCACAGGTCCAAATGCAAAATCAACTGATATGATATGCATCATTTATATGAAAATGGTATGGTAATAAAATAACTCTATAAATTATTGAAAATCTAGGTCTTTAGTCTTCATTACATCCTATTTGATGGATGAAATATGTTTTAAATTCATATCATGTCATATTAATCTAGCACAATTACACTAACACTAGATACACAAATATTATGATGGAAAGAAATAAAATGTCTCACCTATATCCCTCAGGGCACACACAGGTATAGCCATTTACTGCATCGATGCAATGGGCTCCATTTTTGCATTTATTTTCCTGGCAGTCATCAAAGTCGATGTCACACTGGTCCCCAACATACCCAGGCATGCACTCACATCTGTAAAAGTTACAACAATATGAGAAATTATCTTTACAAACTGTATATACAGTACCACACACATGGAATGGCTCATCAGTACTGCATAAGGGAACTACAGTTTGGAATCTATAGTTGGGTATGTCTTATTATGTATCTTTATATAAACAAACCAAAAATAAGGTGAAGAGACTGAACTTGAAGAAACAAAGGTGGACGAAACTGTGCAGCTTTAATCCATATTTCATATCCTGTAATTAATTGCAATTGTGTGGCCATGTAACTCAAACATTGTGAAATACAATATATTTTAAAATTGATTTTTAATTGGTACAATTACATCTGAACAGTATAATCATTAATAAATGTGTGAGCCAAGATCAGCAGAATTCAAATAATTTCAAGGTATGAATATTCTCCATCTATGAAAGGATTTCTCGCAAATTACTAAGGCGTGTTCCTTGACTACATTTTATAATAATAAAATAATAGCAGGTTCAAAAGTCTCATTTTATAATAAGAAAAACAGTAAGCATCTGCTGAGTCTGAGAAAAGAAAAATATTCACATAGAAATTAATGAAAATAGACAAAATGTTTGCAAGGCATCATCAGGAATACAGCAAACTCTTTTTATACTCACTTGTATCCTTTGGGTGTCAAGATGCACTTAGAGTCATGCTGACAGAGGTTCAGCTCAGGAGCACAGAAATCCAACTTTTCCTCACACAGCTCACCTGCAAAACAAAAGAAGACAGGTACTGTATGTGTCATCTGTGGTTCCAAAACTGGTATGGTAACCAAATTGTAATAATCTTTCCAATGCATTTATGCTCCCCAAAACTGTTTTTTTTATTTTTTATTAAAATAACAATATACTTCAAAAACTCCCTTTCCTTCAAACAACCATGTAATCATCCAGCCTTGCCAATTTTAAAACATAAGGCTTTGCAGAGCCAGTTATAGATTGTGTCATGAAAGGTTTGATGAAATCACAGAATGTATTTTCAATTTATATTTCTGAGCTGACGACTATTGCTGCTGGTGCCAAGACAGAGCCCCTGCTGTGCTGGGGTATTAAATTATTTATCTTTTTTTTCCTTAGTGAACTCTTTTCAAACAAATTATATTGCAGAGAAAGCCATCTTTTTTTTTCCTTCGGTGATACAATGCCCTGGAGAGTTTAAAATGACTTTGCCTTCCAAGGCTCAAAATTCAACTCAAAGGATTCTGTCTTTACACAGTTGCTTTCTGAGAGATGCCAGATGCGTGTCTCAGGACACCATAAATCAATAAAAAGATTTTGTGAAATTACATACAAGGCACTAAATTATGAATCTTTAATACCAGTCACACTCTGCCTTCCCTAAGGGAATGGCTGTGATGAATGGCTTATGGCTTAGCCATGTGTAGTCTGGGAAAAACAATAGAACCTGCAGTCATGTAGACAACCAATATTCTGCCACTGATAAATTATCAAGGTCTGTGGTAACATAATGTTCTGTGAGCTCTACTGATTCTGTAAAAAGCAGGATCCATAAATACAATGTAAAAAGATGCAACATAGCATATATTCATTTCCAACTGAGCAAATCTGTCTGCTTTTAATTATAGTATTTTTCTTTTTTAACTCTCTTAATCTCCTAATGATAGAAAAGTTTGAGTTCTGAAATATTTTATGATGTGCGTGCATGTCAAGTGCCATGCATCGTTGTAAGATTAGACCTAGGGGATCATATTTATACCCTACAGGGCTTTGATCTGATTTAAATACAAATAGTTGAGTTTACAGAATGATTTATGATTTTCAGCTATGCAAACTACGTCCTGGTATATGGCTCTGCTGATTAAAATCTCTCAAATTCCAACCATCACATTGCTTTCGTGTAAAAACATTGATATTTCTTTTAGCACAATGTAAATATAAAGGGCTTCGTATTTAAATTGATCTCAAATCATGCCTCCGGGGCTTAAATTAATTAGCAGATCCATCTTATTTCTTTTCTGTTGCTTTTGCTTAAGACATTGCATTGCACAGTGCCATTCCCTCCAGCGCTGTAGTTACTGTTTCATAACAAGGATACATCACCTCTTCTCCTAATGTGTTGCTGGCAGATTGGTAACACTTTAAAAGGTGCACACTGACATAAAACTGTACAATGTTCAAGGTCAATGTGCATACCTCCGTGACTACTTATGATGGGAATTATTTTTAATTAATGCGGAGAAGAATGAAGAGGGGCACCACAGTGACGAAACACCCCCTTAAACCTTGCTGTACACGGACTTATAACATTGAAAGGATTTGCCTTCTCAAATCAAATGACATACGCTTCAAAGGCATTTGGATTGTTTTCTTGCCCCACACAGCAGAAATACAGTTTTAAATTAATAAAGATTTCTACTGAGTGACTACTTTGTTACAGGTTTAAAAGTTTGTTTTAAGTTATTAACTCCCACTTTCAGAACTTGATTTGACTGTACCCAAAGCCTACTAAGCAAATTGATAAAATTGATGGCAAGAGCCTAGTCAAAATGCCAAGGTCAATTGATTAGAATGTGTTGATGATATACAGTACATATTTGCCATGCAAATAAATACACTGATTTGATTAACTATGATAACAGAATATGTATTGAAGCGGTTCAAGAAGAGAGCTGCGTCAGCATGAGTAGGCTGCAAATGAACAGATAAAGGTTCATTCCATGCTGGGAGGTAAAGAAAAGAAACACAAAGTTTCAGCTGTGGACTCTGGAGCCTTCGTGAGGTGTACAGTGCCTTGCGAAAGTATTCGGCCCCCTTGAACTTTTCAACCTTTTGCCACATTTCAGGCTTCAAACATAAAGATATAAATTTTTTAT